CCCATTCCATCGCGAGGGGCCCGCCAGGAGCCAGGAGAGGCAGCAGCAGACCTCGAGGCGCGCCTGCACAGCCCACTGCAGGAATGAACTCAGACCGAGGTCTGCGCTGCCGGGTTCTCTTTTATTAGTCAAGTAGGACAAAAAACAGGTCACAACGGCAGATGGACAGACGACAGACAGATACACAGGACTGAGCGTCATGCTGCACTACGCAGGGGGAAGGAAAGGGAGGGAGCAGTTTGAGTCTTGCTTTTTCAGCTAACAGAATAAATAAATATAGTACACAGTGTTTTGTCGTGGGCTGGCACGACCTCTAAGCACACATTGTCACACAACAGCTGATTTGGAAAGCGGTCTATATGGCCCGCCTGGGAGTTGGTGGGAATCCAGACCCCTGGACCACGCTCGGAGGGAGTGAGGAAGCGGGAAAGGAAGGAGAGGTGAGACCAAGGCTTTCCTGGGAGGGCCAGTCAGAGCTTAGACCTTAGGCAGCCCAGCGGGTCTGGGAGAGGCTTCGGCTCTGGGATCAGCGGTGGGTACACCCCAGCCCAGGGCCTCTGGCTCCCTTGGGAGATGCATGGTACCACCCAGAGTACACGCTCGTGCCCTCTAGCTGCTTCCTGTACCTGAAGCTGGTGCCTGTACTAACTTGAGAGCTGCCCAAGGGCAGGGGTCACGTGACCTTCCCCTTCTCTGGGCTTGTGGATTTGAGTGAACCGAATGGGCAAAGTGCTGACAAGATCTGAGGGCAGCTGGGCTGAGCCCTCGGGCTCTGGCTTAGGGCTCTGGGTCTGGCTCTGGCATGACCAAACACGGCTCTGTGGTGGACTTGCCCCTGACGAGTCAGAGGAGGCTTCCTGGAGAAGGCGGAAATGCGTAGGCTGTTGGAGTCAGGAAGAGTGTAGGCCCAGGAAGAGTGTCACTTGTACTCAGAGACGGACAGAAAGCTTTGGCCCCCATGTCTGATCCAGATAAGATTCTTTTTCATTTCAGAAGCAGAACTTTCTGGAACTGATCCCAGAGGACCGCTGATAGGCCACGGGCCACAAAACCCCTCCTAAACCCAAATCCTTGTGACATTTCTAGTCTTTGCCAACCTCCCAGCCTCCTGCCTGTTTCTCTTCCCCCGAACTCCTATGGCTCCTGTTGGATTCACTTTCCAAATTCCAGATTCCAGCAAGACGCCCCTTGTTCAGAAGCCCCCTACTGTGGTCCTGGAGCTCGCCACAGGGAGGTGAGGCCTTTAGCCTGGATTCTAGGCCCGTGGCCCTCCCTCTTGTGAAAGCCCGCCACCCTGCCCCGTGGTCCACTAGTCTTACCTCCATTGCTTTGTTCCAACAGCTTTCCTGGCCCCCTGACTTTTCTCGCTGTCCAAAGCCTTCTCCAGCTACCCCATCCCAGACTGAGCCCGTAAGGGCGAGGGGCACCGACTGCCTATAGGCCAGTCCCATCTGGAGAGGAGGCAAACCTTAGGGATCTTCACCAGTTTTCAGATCGGCCACTCTAAGCAGGGGGTGGAGGGCACGGTGGAGAGCCATGGAGGCTAGGGATCCTGAGCAGGAGCCTGTCTAAGACATCCCCTCTCCCCTGCCCAGGGCCCTGACACCATGGGAAGGCATGGACACGGTTGAGCCCAGAGGCTGGAACCAGAACTAGGAGAAGCAGGATCAAATCCAGATTGTCTGAACGAGAAGGGACCCATCACACTTCTGAGGAAACTGAGGCAGCGCTCACAAAGAGGCTTGTGCATACAACACCCAGTGATCCACAGCAAGGCAACAGTGATTTTCCCATTAATACATTGTGCTTCCAAGGGCCCTGCTGTTGTTCACTTAACTAAAACCTCTGTCCTGCAGGGTGGGAGCACAGAACACAGAATGTCAGAGCTGGACAGGACCTTCCAGGCTCTGACATCTGGGAGAGGACACAGGTCCAGAGAGGCTACAGGCTTGCCCAAGGTCACACTGCCGTGAAAGAAGTTCGCTGAGCCGGGTGTCCTGGCCATAAACGAGAGCACACCCTCCCACGGCAGTGACCAGTTGGGAGAGGCTGGGACTCTCCCTCTGGCTCTGGGTCAGGAGGCCCCTGAGGTCCAACACCGCACCAGCGTGAGGTCTGAGGAGGAGCCAGAGTTGCACCCCCATTCCTGGCTCTTACATAATCCTGGAAGGGACAGTGGCTGAACCTGGAGGCTAGGGTGGAAGAGGGAAGCTCCAGCCCTGCCCTCTCTGGCAGCACTGACCAGAAAGGTCTCCCCAGAGAACTCCAGCCCTGTGCCCAGCCCTGGACAAGCCAGGCCTCTGTCCTCCGAGGACCTGCAGGCCATTCTGCCTGCCCCAGCCAGACCACAGCCTCCACTCCCCTCCCATCAGCCTTGAACCGGGACCTCCTTGCTGAGAAGAGAGAAGAAAGTGACCGATGACCCCTTCCAGAGGTCAGGTCTGGCGGGTGGGGGGACAGTGCCACCTCCTGCCTGCAGCTCCAGGACTACAGGGTCTCCAGGGCGACCTTGTGGCCTCCAGGAACAT